GCTGCAAATTTTATTAAAAGTTTGACATTTTGCAGATGAAACATACAAACAAACGGGGAGATGGCACATAAAAATCGATAAGCAGTGTTAAAGCAGTGCGGTAGTCGATAACGATGTTTCACTTCCGGTACTGCTTTCGGCACTAACCGATTCAACAACATTTCCACTGCCTTGCCGACTGAGGTTTTGCCGAGTGTTAAATTCAAAATCAGACATGCAGAATTGTTTTTGTAACTACCATGGTTTTTCAAGTTACATGTTCCAATATGTACATATGTATGTACATAAATGCATCTATGCACGCTTATTCGAGTATTACATAAATAAATTAGCATAGAAATGTGCATTATACTATTTGGGTGAAAGTGGGGTTTTTATAAGCTTTGCATTCGCAATGGCAAGGTATAGATATATCGACGGTACTCTGGCAAAAGCTCGTATCTCAGAAATCATTATTACCTCGTATCTCGTAAAACTAATTGACAATAAGTCTTAAAACACTATGATTCATTGGCCCATAGTCATAGTCGTAAACTAAAACTCATTCTTGTTAAAATAAAGTTTTAAGTTTAGAATAGATTTTTAGGTTTTGTCAATCATAGACTTCATACAAATAGCTTTAGATCCATTCAAAATCAAAAAAATGTTACGAATTGTTACAAGTTTTTACTGAAAATGCATTCAATAACCCCACAAATTTGCAAGAGAGAGCGGATTCGACAGCGTAACAATCGCCTGCAGGATTGCGGATTTAGTAAGCCATTTATTTTACATCTTTTTTTGTTCTTTTAAATATTATTAAATTTTTTTTTTTGTAATTATAGTTGTTGTGACTTTTTTAATTAAAAGTAAACTCCTAAAAATTTGAGTAACTTGAAATAATTATGTGAAATACCATAAACAAGAAAAAATAAAATAAAATTTAATTTTGGTGACGGATTGTGCATTTTTTCCATATAAGCATGAATTTCTTATGAAATTAAATGCGGGAGACCGTTAGCAACAAAATTTCAAAGAAAAAAACAACGCCTGGTTTTGGAAATTACACTTGTTATATAAAAAAAAAAAAACGGAAAAGTAGTATAAAAAAAAATTCTCAAAAATCAACGCGATTTTGAAACGCGGTTGAGATTTGCACTTCATTAGACTAGAATTGTATGGGCTATAAAACTGCATACCCGAAAATATTCTAAAGATTCAGATTATAAAGTTGAAATTTTGATGAAAAATTGTACTGAAGTAGTTAGTATTTACTAAATACAATTTCGCTTATTACTCACTTGAAAATATAATTTATTCATCCCTTGGACATGTACATTAGACTGGTTCAAAAAAACAAAAACGCCTTTTAGAGGTTGCTCATCGTGAATTTATATTTCCCATAACACAAGGGAAAAATCTTTCTTTAAGTTAGCGTTTTGGAATGAGCGATATATATATATTTTTGAAGGATATTGTAGGCTGTAAAAATAAGGTCATGATTTTTCCACAAATTCCGTCCTCCAAAAGTTATTCAAGGCTAAAGTCGAACATATAATAAATTTAATGGTATTAAAATTTTCAGCAAAATGTTAAAACTTGTCACTTAGGACATTTTATAATTTTTACTTTTTTTTTTAAATAAAAATTCGCGATGAGCGATCTCTCAGTCTTAAAATTGAGGGCTACGCGATTTTTTTCGATGTCCTGAAAATATTTCACAAAGAATTTTGAAAGAAATTAAATATTTGGTCGATTTTTTGAACTGGTCTATTGTACATACATATGTATGTATATATGAACATAAAGGTTACACGTGCACACAAACATACATACATACCTATAGTACGTAGTAAGTATACATCTATGTATATACGGCATATGTATGTATATATGTATGGAATTTTGCTTCCAAGTCTCTCATAAATATGTAATCAGCGCCATACTCGACGCGCCATAAAAATACCCTAGTACCTTCCACACTTGAAAACCACTTATCGTTTGTTAAAGCATTACGGTTTTAGATTAATTAAAAAATGCTTTCGACTATAGATAAACAAAAATAAAAATACAACCGTATAAAGTAAGTATAAACAAAAGCTAAGCATCAGCGTATCGATACAGATTGTTTAAGAGGTCGTTTCAAAATAATCCTAAA